GTGTGTGTGTGTGTGTGTGTGTGTGTGTGTGTGTGTGTGTGTGTGTGATGGGCAGTTTCTTCAGAGATAAGGCCTCTCTTTGGACCGGACTGGTTGGGGGGTTGAGCAATCTGACCAGAACGGAACTTCCTTCCCCGCCTGCTGGTCCCACAGAACCAGGCAGGAAAAAAAACCAGTCCGGACCTTTAATAAATGGGACCAATGGCCCGGACTCAGTCTGTGGATCCGTCTCGGACCGTTCAGGTTTAGAGGAGTTCCTCTGTCGGACAGGATGACTCCAACAACACAGACGCTTCTCTTCATGTTTTCTCTCTGCGGGCTGCAGGAAGCGCAGGAAGCGGCCCCCCCTCAGCTCGCGCGCTGCTCCGGGGGTCTCTGTGTCTTCCAGCACTCTGTGGACCTTCGTGGCGCAGAGGAGTCCTGCACCAGCTACAGTGGGCGGCTGGTCGAGTCCAGCTCTGAGGAACACATGGAGGTGTTACGGAGCCTGCTGGCTGAGGACAGCGGGAGGTTCTGGCTCAGATCCGGGGCCGCGAACTGCACGGCTGCGCTCGTCAGGGGTCTGTTCGAGGTGGTCTCGGTGCCGTGCCGGGACCAACTGGATGGTTTTGCTTGCCGGTATGAGTCTAAAGAAGTTTGCAAAGTCCTGAACGCCTCCGCTCAGGGTTTGTACACCATCAACACGACCGCGCGCTTCCAGGTGCGCGGCGCGGACTCGTTCCCCCCGGGAACCGTGGCCCTGTTCGGGCTCGCGCAGCAGCATCCGGACTCAAAGCACCTGTGTTTCGGTGAGTGGTTGGCAGCGCCCTGGGGCTGTGAGGTGATGAAAGGCGGCTGCGAGCACGACTGCGACCCGAGCGCGTCCACCTGTACCTGCCGCAGCGCGCACGCGCTCCACCCCAACGGCTTCTCCTGCGTCCGGGAGGAGGCTCCTCTGGAGTGCGAGGACGGGTACGAGCCCGCAGAGGATGAGGGCTGCGTGGACGTGGACGAGTGTGAGGAGGAGCACGCGTGCACGGATGAGAGAAAGGAGTGCGTGAACGAGCCGGGAGCGTACAGGTGCGCGTGCGCGCACGGCTTCGCAGAGGAGGACGGCGTGTGCGTGAACGTGTCCGTCTGCCTCACGTGCGAGCAGAACTGTGTTAAGGTGAACGGGGTGTTCCGGTGCTCGTGCGTGGAAGGGTTCACGGTGGTCCCAGAGGAGCCCACCAAGTGCAGGCAGTCGTGCTCCGGGGCGGTGTGCCCGGCCCTGTGCCTGCACGACCCCCGGCTGGAGGAGAGGGACATGCAGCAGTGCAGCTGTCCTGACGGCTACATCGTGGACATCCAGAACGGGACGGCCAGCTGCGTGGACATCAACGAGTGTGAGCACCAGGAGATGTGCGACCACAGGTGTGACAACACGTTCGGCAGCTACAGGTGTGTGTGCGAGGACGGGTTCCGGCTGGTGGGGGGCGACAGGTGTGTGTCTGTGGAGAGAGAAGACCCTCCAGAGTCCCCTCCTGCTCTGTTCCCTCAGGCGCCGGAGAGCCTCCAACCAGATGTTCTCCCCTCCTACATCAAAACCGGCAGCATCCTGGGCATCACCGTGTTCCTGGTTCTGTGTGTGGTGCTGCTGGGCCTCCTGGTCCAGAACATGACGAAACGCTGCGGCCGCTTGGACCTGACCTCCTTAAAGYGCCCAGACATGTTCTACCTGCAGCAGGTGAGCACAGAGACCTACAAGAGGCTCTCCGACAGACAGTCGGTACCGGACTCACACAGACTCTGAGCTCCACAGGACACAGGACTAGGGGTGTAAGAAAATATCGATACACTGAAATATCGCGATATTTCATTTCCCGATACGTATCGATATTCTAAAGCCCTGTATC